TAGGGCGCCTGGGTGGCTCAGATGGTTAAGCGTCTGCCTTCGGCTCAGGTCATGATCTCAGGGTCCTGGGATTGAGTCCCGCATCGGGCTCCCTGCTCCTTGGGAGCCTGCTTCTCCCTCTGCCTTTCTCTCTCGCTCTGTCTCTCATGAATAAAAAAAATAAAATAAAATAAAATAAAATAAAATAAAATAAAATAAAATAAAAACAAAGCATATAAAAAACACACAAAACTGACTTCCAAATTTCTTTAACTTCCGGTAATTAAGCTTAAGAGTAAATTTGCATTCAAGGGATTTTAATAATACATATTTGAGTTAGGTATGCGTATTTAACAGTTTTTAGCTAAGACCATACTGAAGTACACCACAGTCAATTGTAATTTCAATCTCCCATATAAAATATATACATTTAAGTATTAATTCATAATTTGGATCACATCTCAGGATGTTCCTGAATATGCTTACATCTTTCACCTGAGTGAAGTAGTGATTTATTTATAAAGTAGGAGAAAAGCATTTTTAAAAAATATTTATTTATTTATTTGAGAGACACAGAGAGGGCATGCACGTGTGGGGAGAGGGGCAGAGGGAGAGAATCCCAAGCAGACCCCCCATGACTCCCCATGGGAGCCCCACACAGACAGATCCCATGACCCCTGAGATCACAACCCGATCTGAAACCAAGAGTCCCAGGCTCAACCAACTGAGCCACCCAGGGGCCTCAAGAAAAGCATTTTTAACTTGTTAAGACACTGGTAGATAAATCTAAGAGATTTGTGTATTGTAAGGCAGTGATTCTCAAAAGTCTTCAGAAGGTAGAATGCTTGAGGGTCAATGTCTTAGTAGTATAACATAACATCACAGGAATTAAGAAAACTTACACTGGTAAAAACTGATTATATGAAATCATAATAATAAGTTTACATATAGAACGCCTCCCCCCCCAAGTTACTGAACTAATAATCATATTATACTTAGATTGTTGGTAAGTTTTTCATTAATATTTATTGTAGTCATCAATGTTTAAACACTTATAAATAAACTTTAAGGTAAGAAGAGCCTGTTGAATAACTTAATTATTTTCCACAAATTTGGAAAAGATCTCCACCATTCAATTTTATTGGCAGAATATCTCCATCTTTTAAGACATAAAAGCATAGTTTAAATATTACTAATATAAGTATTTTATTAGTATGGGTTTTATGACCTTGGGCCTCAGTTTCCTCATCTATAAAATAAAAGAGCTGAACTATCTAATTTCTAAAGTTCATTTTAACAATATTTATAGCAGCCCTATGGCCAGATTTTTAACAGAAACTAGGATTTTTTTTCCTTTTAACTTTGATATATCTTCTATTCCTAAAAGTACTATTATTTTAAATCTGAAAATCTTGAGGCTTATGGGTTTTACGTGAGTCTAGAAAAGCTAACAAATACACGTTTCTCTAAGTAGACCCAAAAAGGATTGAGTGAAATGAAGAAAATCCGTGGACTAAAACAACGACTATTATCTCTTCAAGTTCTGTCTATAATATGAGAAAGCTTATCTGGATACTAGGTTAGCCCATTTAGGAAAAATCCTTGCTTGGGAGGGAAAAACATATTTTATAAAATAAAATAGTCAGTTCAGTTAATTTCCTGAACTAGCAAAGTCAAAGCTTGCGCATAGGGGTGTAACATGCAAACCCTGTAATGGTTTGCAAACTGGTCTTCCAGCCACAGAGCAATCGTTAGGAGTGATGTGAACTCACATTCCCAAATACGTTACTTGCTGGTAGTAAAACCTGAGACTTGGTTTCCTCGCTATAAAATAGGAATTGATTAGAGTACTTATTTCACAGGATTATTGTGAAGACTAAAAGAGGTAAGGTACACAAATATATAAATCCCTCAGTATGGTACCTGGTATACAGTAATAAATGATAGTTTTATTCCATTAGTTTCTATCCCTGTTCTTTTCCATCATGCAAACCCTTATCAAATTAGCCTTCCTACAAATTCAGCTTTGATTATCCCACTCTTTAATAAGAACCTTAAAAATCTATTTATCCTCTACTAAAACAAGACCAAACTGCTTACCTTGGCCCCCAGATCCCTGTGCAACGCTACACAAACTACCATTTTGGTCTTACCTCCCTTTTCTCCCTTACTGACAACGACTAAAGTATTCCTGTTCTTTGGATCTTTTATGATTTAGCTAATGCTTTTCTCCTCTGCCTGGAATCTTTCCTCATAAAAGCCTTCCTGGCATCAATGCCAATAATAGTAACATAAATAACAACAAGCGCTGCTACTTACTAAATGCTTACTGGGTACCAGAGAGTGTCCTAACCCTATCATACATTAGTGCATGTATCCATGTAACTTGGTAAAGGAGAAATTGTCTTCATTTTACCTATGAGAAAACTGAGGTAATGCAAGGTTATACCGGAGCTAATAAGCAGTGTATTTAACCCCAAATCGCATGTTCTTAACCTGGACTTTATTGCTTATTTTAAATACTTCTTCCTCTATGCAACTTTTTCTTATCTTCACAACCAGATACAATCTCTCCCTTAACTTGAATACCACTTTAGGCATTATAGGAAACAGTCTGGTCTCTAACTTTCTAAAAATAACACTGAGCATATCATCTCTGGTAAACAGTAGCTTGAGGAGAAGGATTGTATCCTTTTCTAACAATGGATTCTCAAGATATGGGAACTTGAATTTCAACAAGCAAAGTTCCTGGTAACACCTTTCCATACTTTGTCAAATTATACAGACCCTAGTCATAAAATTCAAAGGTAATAATCTATTATGTAACAGACAATTCATTTGGCAACCAGGAAAAATAGTAATTTTTCTTCACTTTTCAATCTCATCTCTCTTTTCTTAAATTGGCGATAAGCATCAGTGTTCCTAACATAAATTAATTTATATTTTGAATGTGAGGCTCCCTAGATGAGAAAAAAAAAAACCCAGAATACTAAAAGGATTGGTAATTTCACAAAGAGAATGATAGGCCTAATGCCTCATCAATATCACCAAAAAAATCTTAATCTTTTAAATTTCGAAAACTAAAATCACACAGCAATTGATTAGTTATGCACAAGATCTAAAAATGGAAGAGAAACAGACTTCATATAAAATGCACTGACATAGGAACATCACACACCATATTACTTCCAAATTTTCTTGTTCTGTAATTTAGTGGCCCTAATTTATGGAAGCACTTTTCATCTAAAAAATCATGAAGCGTACATGTAACATACTACCTTTCTTCACTGTGCCAGCTAAAATGGTGCCAAGGGATATGAGTCTACAGGTTCGATAGGCTAGAATGATTTAAGAAAAATAAAATGAAATTTAAAAGTGCTGCAGTCTCAAGAGTATGAGAAAGAGATTTCGGCTTACTGTACACCCAGGGAACTGTTAGAGCACTGTCCAAATACTACCACTGACATCATCGGCTGTGTTCCATATTTCAATTGCCGTATTTTAAGTGACTACAGAAACCTGAGCAGGCAAATTATATGAAACAGCTTTATGATTCTGCTTTATCAAAAAAAGAGAAAAAAAAAAAGGGACAATGACTACAGGCTAAAAAACAAAAAATTAAAAAGTACTTTCTCCACCCAGTTGTGATAAAATATGGCTCCTCACCCTCATTTTTAAAGTTTCTTAAAGATACCTGCTACTGAAGGCTTATTTTGTTTTATAATGACCATTTTTTTGGATCTCTATTTTCTCAATCAAGTATTCTTTCCCCTTTTAAAAATGAAATAGCTAGAAATTTAATTTTTTCTACAAAGACTTTCCTAAATGGACAATCTTTACTGTTTTTTGCCTTTTTTCCTTTCTCATCTTCTTTATGCTTCCATCACCATTTATCATCATCATCATCATCACCATCATCATCATGATCACCATCATAAGATGTCTCACCCAGAGCAGGTAATATACCTATGACTACTGTTGAGCAGCAAACACATTAGCATGGCACTTCTTCCTAGCATTTAGCGCAGGAGCATCTGTAACCAGACATTTCATAATATACCATGCATTGAGGATGTTAATAATAAAACAAATTCTTTTTCCCTTATGGTTAATTTATAATACTCCCTTAACAATATTGAGGAAAATATTAATTACGTTCACATCTAAGAATCAGATATTTTAAAATTTCCTTTTTCAAAAAACATCGTTCCATTCTATCAGATGTTATATGTTGGTAGATAAAGAGTAGTGGATTTTTAAAAGTATGTTTTCTTTTCCTTTTATTTAAAAATTGAGATATAATTGACATATAACAGGACATAGTTTTTGAAAGTTTAAATAGTATACTCTTGTGAGAAAACTCTGAAAAATTTACCAACTGTTTATCTACTTATGTGTAATTCAAATGCTTTAGCAAAAGGCAGAATCTTAAATATATTGTTTTCTCACCTCAGGAGCAAACATGGTCTCATAGGTAGGATTATACTGAACCTCTTTGACAGCAGGGTCAAGGTGAACTCCAGTCTCTAAATCTTCCTAAAAGAAAACCAAATGAACATTAAAGATCTGACAAGTAATCATTTTGTTTTGGAAACTATATTAAGGTCACACTAGCTATTTTAATACCAATTTTATGATTATTATACTAGTGCCATATGATTAATAATTCTAATACTCAAAGCTTAATAAAAGTAACATATGTAGTATAAAGGTTAGAATGCATAACATTTTTTCCTTTCAAAATGCTGACTTTATCCCATCTGAACAAATTAAAAATTTCTAAATAGGCTAATAAGCTACTCAAAGCTTTAAATTAAGAGAGTCCAAATCTTCTTTTTTATGAACTCAAAAAACTTAACCTCTCGTTCCAAATTCAGGACAATTTCTTTATTCAGCAAACCTCATTAGACATGTGCCCAGATGGCCCATGGTTCCAGGCTACAGAAGTGGCAAGGCCCTAATATTCTAAATCTAAATCTTACACTCTATGCCAATGTTTCAACCTTCTGAAATTCACCCCCCATTTTAATGAACATAAAAATCTATGTCCACTAGAGAATCACTGGTGATCTCTATTTTGTGTAACCACACCACCTACTACAAATATAGTAATTCCCAAATTGGTATCTCTTGCCTGGACCTCTCCTCTGAACTCTAAAGACTTGTGTATCTAAAGTTTAGCTCAACATCTTTTCTCCCAGGATGCCTAACAGACATCTCAAACTTGATATATCCCAAAGGGAACTTCTGGTCTCCCCTTCCCCAATGACTTCTTCCCAGCCTTACATTTGCTCAGGTGGAAACTCCTGGAGTTATCCTTGATTCCTCTTTCTTTCACGTTGTATCTCCAATCCATCAGCAAATCCTCTACCTTCTATATACATTCAAAGTTCAACCACTTCTCATGTTCTCTTTCACGGTCATCTCACAGTCCAATTTACCAACTCACACCTGATTGTTATAATAGCCTTTTAACTGGGCTCCCTGCTTCTATCCCCCCACAGCCTCACTCCATGCAGGAAGCTGTGTGATTTTTAAAAAATATTAGATTATGTTACTCAAGCTCTAAACCGTCAGGTAGCTTCTCCACTCAGAGTAAAAGCCTAACGAAGGCCAGAAGGCTCATTACCAGTTGTTCTCAGAAAACAAGTATGGTTCCCCAGGGTAGTGTTATAGGGCATTTTTATATTCCTGTATTGTCCTGCCTGAGTATTTACATATTAAAAACATGTTGTTCGTACATGTTTAATTCACATATTAAACAGGCTATAAATACCTTTCCTTTAATTAGGGCACTCAAGTTATATTTTGAAATTTTTATGGAAGTTACATATCATGTATGAATTATACTTCAGTAAAGTAGAATTACAGAAATGCTATTACAAAATGAGGATGTTTGAATCTAATCGGTTGAGAATTATCCTCCTCTTCTGAGATCTCAGAATGATCTCCCCCCGCCAAACTTGCCCTCACAAACTTCTGTCTTCATCAAGTCCTATGCCAGTGCTCATCACCTCCAGCCTCACTGGCTCATTTGCTATTCCCAGAATTCACCAAAGGTCAATCCTGCCTCAGGGTCTCTGCATATACTATTTCCTTTTCCTGTAATGTTCTTTCCCTAGATATCCACATGATCGTTTTCTCTCTTTTATCAGGTTTCTGCTCCATTTTTCTACTTTCCTCTTACCTTGCTTTACTTTTCTCCATTACATTTATCATCATCTGACATATATATTTATTGTCTACCACCCCTTACTGAAGTATAAGATACACAAGTTGGATTTCATATGCACAAATGTATCCTCAACCCCTAGAATTATCCCTGTCATATGACCGTCTTTATTCTATTGGCCTTTTGCTGATGTAAGATACATCTGTCAACACAATACAAAACACAATTCAAAGTAATATCGAAAATTTTTTTTAAAAGGTGAGATACCATGAGGTTGACAGTGACGCTGGAGAAGAAGCAATGCCACTGACAAATGAAGATCTGGAGGACTTAGAACAACTAATGACCAAAGACTAGAAAACAACAATGAAAAATAATACTCTAGGCACACAATTAGTATTCCAAAATCTTACCACTTTTTAAAGCAACCCTCACCCAAAGCAGGCAATTTAGTTTCTCTACTTCTCAAAGATAGGGTTCCTCAAGTATGACTCCCTTAAACTTCTATCCTTTCTAGTTTCAAAACAGCCATATCTTTACCTTATCTCCTCTTTCTCAGGACTTCAATCTCCACCTTCGATTTTATCTGCAACCTTGACCACACTCCTGGCCTCTGTATCTAACTGCCTATTGAACTACATGATATGGGTGTTCCACAGCATCAAACACTTTGCTGTGTCTCATTCCATGATTCCACCTTTACTCACTAAAAAATAAGGCACTGAGTCTTACTGATTCTATCTCTGAAATATTTCTCCAGCAACCCTACTTCTACTATCCTAATACAGACTTCATCATATCTTGCCTCGTCTATTATAATACCTCCTTATCTGGTAATACACTCCCACCTTTGTCTTATTAGACAAATTACTGATTTTTAAAAATATCAAGCACTTTCACCCTTGCTGTGCTGCTGGCAATGTTACTGTCTTTGTTCTTTATGCACATCCCTTTATTATCTGATAATATGTCATCTTATTTTCTCTTATACCTTCCCTTCTCTTGGCTCAGGAAAACTGCTTCTCCATAATCCTAAGGAATGTTTTACATAATTCCTTATAGCAATTATGATGTTATATAATTTGTTGCACATGACTTTCACTAACATTCTATATCCTCACTGCCTAGTAGAATGCAGGGTAATCAGTGCATGTTCAATAAATATTTGTTAATTGAAAAAAGAAAAAGTCAAGTCCATTGAGAAAGAGGATGAAGGCTGACTAAAGATCATGAAATTTGGCAATGACATCATATTAAACCTTTGCCAGAGCGATTCTGGTAGTGGGGTAGAGTATGGAAAAGCAGTTTTAAGAGGCAGAGGTATAACTAAGGATTTAGAAAAACAAGACAGTAGTAATTTTTACTCTCTCAAGACATTTGGCAATAAAGAAGAGGAGATGGGGTGCCAGATTGAAGGATTTTTGAGGTAAAATTAAGTTTGTTTTTTCCCTCCTTAAGAAAAGACTAAGCCAAGATTTAGTCAGTTATAAGCTACAGGATACGAGTGAGTAGGGAGAAACACAGAAAAAAAGCCAGCACAGTTGGAAGGTTATCCTCTGAGAAGAGGAGAGCCCTCTGTGAGATGAAACAGAGACGACAAAGACAAGGATGGGTGATGGGTGATAGATGTGTGGAGCTGGTGGGAGGTGTTGGAACTCAGAACTGATGTTATTTTCTTTGTGTAGTTGGGGGCACAGGCCTCTTCACAAAGCAACTTCAAATTCATTTATATATTCAATAAATATTGATTGGGTGCCTACTATGTGCTAGGCATTGTTCTAGGCCCACAGAAACAAATAAAGCTCCCTGTCCTTGTGGAGCTTATATTCTAGTGGGGGAGACAGACAATAAGCAATACAGTAAGTGAATTATATAGTTTGCTAGAAGAGGGTAAGTGAAAAAGAGTGTTTAACAACCTCAGTGTTGTCTCACATTATTTCATATAATTCCTACAACACTTCTATGAAATAAGTACTAGCAACATTAAGTCATTTACCCCAAGATGCTCACAGAATAAATGAGAAGGGGAAAAATTTCAAGTAACCACAAGGAATGACGTTAAAGACACCCAATTAGGAACAAACAAAAAAAATCTGGCAGACTACCAGTCAGGGTTCTTAGCTGCAAGCAGCTGAAAGCCTTACAGACTGATTAAACAGTACTGAACCCTTCTGAGTATCGAATCCTTTCCCTTAGAATTGCCAAGAAGGGTAGAGAATCAGTTTGAGGAAATAGGCATAAATAAGGGTGAGTATACAGATGGAATCACAACTGAAAATCGATCATATCACAGAACCAGTCCACTGAGGACAGGAGTTCACCATTACTGAACTACTGTGGCTGTCACCGGATGCTGCTGTTGAGACCACTGGCCCGAGAAACTACATGTTGGCCGCCCTGCCACTTAACATATTCTCTTTCCTTGCTTCTTTGTGGATTAGCTTTAAATTAGAATTTAGGTGAGTGCATTTGTCTGCTCAGCCTAAGTTACCGTCCCTGAGCCTTAGCTAAAAAGGAGCTGGGAGGAGAATCTGGGCTTTTGGCCTCTGAAGGTTGGGGGCAGCAAGGGCTGTTCCTCACATTAAGACTCTTAGGGAGGGGATTCAGGTGCTGGGCCACCTAAAATATGATATATACACAGTGGACCCCTGAACAACACGGGTTGAATTTGTATGCAGATTTTTTTCAGTAAACATGGTACAGTGCTGTAAATGTATTTTCTCTTATGATTTTCTTAATAACATTTTCTTTTCTCCAGCTTCCTTTATTGTAAGAATACAGTATATAATACACATGACAAGTATGTATTAACTGACTATATTATCAGTAAGGCTTCCGTCACCAGTACAGGCTATCAGTAGTGAAGTTTCTGGGTAGTCAAAAGTGATACTCGGATTTTCAACTGCACAGTGGAGGGGAGCGGTTGGTGTCACTAACCCCTCGTTGTTCAAGGGTGAACTGTTTATTACCCTAGAAGGCACACTAGAATCGTCATTGGTTAGAGATAGTATCTGCCAAATGTTGAGCAGAAAAATTCAGTACCATAAAATTAAAAGGTCATATACAAATGGCTTCAACTGCATAAAAACTAAATTAAATGCATTTCTCAGTATTTAATTCTAGTATAAACTGCTTAAAATAACAAGGCTTAGCCACATTCATACCTCCCCAGTGGATTTCATACAATACAGTTAGTTGCTAGAACCACTTTATAACATGGTTTACCAGATCTTTCCGATTACGAGTATTTTAAATTTGATTCTGAACAGAGTAGCATGAGACACCAAATTTTAAATGCAGAGTACAATTTAAAAAGAATAACTCTTATATACACAACAGTGGCAATGAATAAAAAATATAAATA